TAGGGTTCTGTTCTTCTGAAGAGTCAATTATTTCTACTGGTTTAGTCACTGGGATAATTACAAGCTCACCCGGAATAGGGGTTATCTGGAAGAAACATCTGATTTCATCTCCTCCTAACCCTTACACCATTATGTAAGGAATATTATGGACATAATTTATGGGGTTCAGCTACATAGATGAAAAAGCAGTGTCAACTTTAGTAATTTCAAACCATGAAATCCATCCTTGGGAAGGAGCACTCCCAGTGTTCCCTTCCTTTCTGGATATACAGAATTCCACCCTTCCCAATCCCACTGCAGCTTTGTGGCGCTATGCGAGGGGTGCTAGTGACATGTGACTGCAGGGGCTCAAGCAGTGAAACAGGCACTTTTTGGGGTCACAGACTTCCTGTTCCCTCGGCAGTGTGCAGTTTCCTTACATGGCTAAGCTGCAAGACCACAGCATTATGGATCACTGAGCTTTCTGTTGGAAGACAGCTCCAAGCCTGTCTGTTATTGTATCCTGTGTGAGCAAAGCAACACTTGAGTATTATATTGAGACACTAAAAGTGTTTATTGTCAGAGCATGAGCTAACCTATCCCAACATGCCATCCTTCCTTGGCCGTTGGCCAGCTGTTCAACTGAGTGACTGTTGTCTGGGAGGTGTGTCACTTTTGAGACTTGAAATTTCCCCTTAAGTAAAACCAGAGAAACTCATTAGAAATATTTACTGAATTCCAACCCCAAGGATACACAAATGATTATCTAGTTACAACAGTTCACAATTTTGGTTTTTCCAAATTTACAATGATATAAAAGTAGTATGCATTTAGTAGGAAAACGACTTTAAATTTTGACCTTTGCCAGAGCTATTGTTATGTGGCATGACACTCCTGTGATGTTGATGGGAGGAACCAGTCATTTGATTATCAGCATAAACTCATATTTTACAGTATGCTATATGTATTATGTTGCTACACTATGATGCTTTGTTATTTTGGTATATTAAATATACTTTATAAAAAAGGATTTGAAAGACAGAGAGGGAGAGCAAAAGAGACGGTTGATCTTCCACTCACTGGTTTACTCACCAAATGGCTGCCACAGTCAGGTCTGGGCCATAACTGAGTCATAATTCCACCTTATGTTGAGGAGCATCTGTAATCGAATATGGAACATATGTATTTATGTAATCATATAAGGCCCTTATGTGGCCTTAAGGGGCCTACACTTTAGTGAGGAAGTCAGACAAAAATTAAGTCAACAGATGCTTACAAGTTTGGGTAAGTGCTAATAAAAGGAAATAATAGCTTAGTTACAGATTAACAGGGGCAGGGATCTATTTTCAACAGCATGATGGTAAGGAGACCTTCAACCCGAGATATGAACAAATGAGGAAGTATTCTTAGTCATAGGAGGCAAGAACAGATCAACGTAGTTGGGCCTTTATAAAGGAGAACAAGTGACAAATGCTGGGCAGGTAGAGATGGATCATGTTCTGCTAGGGGGTTTAGATTGTTTTTGAAGAATTATTTCCGTATCTGAAATAAATGAAACAACAGAGAAAGCGGAGAGAGGCAGAAAGGGAATCTTACATCTGCTGGTTAACTCCTTACATGGTCACAGAGGCTGAGGTCTGGGTCAGGTCTCCAGCACTGGTGGCAGGGCCCCCCCAAGTAGTCGGACCTGCTTCTGCTGCCACCCTGGGGTCATTCCAGGGAGCTGAATCGGAAACACAGGAGCTGGGACATCAAAGACCACTCTGACATGGGGTGCTAATGTTGCAAGGGTGGCTTAACCTGCCTAGGAGTTTGGACCTTACTTCAAACTCCATCAGATAAGGTCACTTTAATGTTCTTTCAAGCAATGCCCTAACATTAGTCACATTTCCGTTTCCCTCCTCTACCTGCCCTAACAAGTAACTCAGCCATCACCTTTCTGAAAGTCAGTTCTTTTGTTTGTATTCCTCCTGCTGTGGTTACTTCACCCCTTTCTCTTTTCTTGCCCTTTGCTGGTCTGACTGCATCTGTGCTGAGTCTTTATTCTCTTCTCAGGGATCAGTCCTGTGAAGCAATCTACAAAATACTATCATTTTATTTTTTTGTTTATTTTGATTGGAAAGGCAAATTAATAGAAAGGAGGGACAGAGAGAGAGAGAGAGAGAGAGAGAGAGAGAGAGAGAGAGAGAAAGATCTTCCACCTGTTGCTTCACTCCCCAAATGGCCACAATGGCCAGAGGTGAGCTGATGTTGGAGATAGATTGAATTGGACCCCGAACTCTCTGGCACACACAGGAGTCAGTTCTGGGGTCACCCCAGGCAATGCTTATTTGGGGACCCTCCAACCTCTGGGGAAATCACAGGATCTGTGGTCTGATAGTGGATTGCATGTGTCAGAACTGCGCCTCCTGGGTTGTTGAAGCCGGTGCACTGGATGGCACGCCCAAATGCACATTGGGGACACGACAGCTCATTGAGGCCTGCAGAGGACGTGTAATACCGTGGCAGAGGATGGAGGACAGACCAAATTGGATAACTACTCCGGCCAAGCAGCGACAGCAGGTATCTGGGTGAGTGGAGACTCGGAGGTGGACTATGTCAGCCAGTGGACCTTGGCAGGATTTGCTCAGCCTTGGAGCAACGAAACCACCAGAATCTCAGAACTGTTGAAAGCACCTGAGCAGTACCCTCGGAACTTGCTCCACGTCGGGGACCCTGGGATGACACCGGTGTTTATTTCCCATTCCTGGGTACTATCGCAGATGGGCTACTGGGTGCAGCCTTCCCTCCTCTCCCCACGTACAGGAAGAAAACCAGAAAATGGAAGCAATGGTCTCATCTACTTTCCTCCAATCCTTGACCCTTCCCACCCTAATGAGTGGTCCACATGGGCATACATCCTTCTCAACTTTGCGGACAATATGAAATATAAAATCTATCTTCAAAATGGAGAAAAACTTTTTGCAACAGACAAAAAGTGAGCAATTGCTCATTATAGACCGCCCTGCTGAGAAACACTTAAGGAATTCTCACACGAGAAGCTAAAAGCGAACTACCATGATGAAAACCATGAAAGCACAAAGCCCACCAACACAGCGGATACACATGACACCGATAACTTGGTCATTCATATTATTTTCCATAGTTTGATTTTTAATATAGACTTGGTTAAGGGCTTTGACGCTGGTATTAAGGCCATAGGTTATGTAGCTTCCCTCATATTTATTAGTTTGCAACATGATTATGCTGGTCTCTCAACTGGATCTGGCAAGCATTTGATGCTTCTCTTTTCAGAAGGAACTTATTCTTGTGCTATCATTTCAGTTGGATTTTTTGAAAAGGTCTCTTGATTTGCCTTTTTGCTTCTGGTATGGTTTTCCTCGAATGTATTCTTCACACAACAGCCAAGGTGTTTGTTTGTTTACTTAAAACACTTTATCATTACTATTATTTTGTTTTAAAATATTTATTTATTTTTATTGCAAAGCCAGATATACAGAGTAGAGACAGAGAGGAAGATCTTTCATCCGTTGATTCACTCCCCAGATGGCTTCCACGGCTGGTGCTGAGCCGATCCGAAGCCAAGAGCCAGGAGCTTCCTCCAGGTCTCCCATGTGGGTGTAGGGTCCCAAGGCTTTGGGCCGTCCTGGACTGCTTTCCCAGGGCACAAGCAGGATGGGCAGCGGGGCTGCAGTGATTAGAACTGGCACCCATATGGGATCCTGGTGCATTCAAAGGAGGACTTCAGTTGCTAGGCCACCGCACCGGGCCCCAAGGTACTTATTTTTTAAAGACAGAATGATTTAATTCAAGTAAATACTAGACATCTTTATAACTTGTCTGGAAATAAACTTTTATGATGGCATAGTGGCAGTATATACATTATACGTTTTGAGATGTTATGCAACAAATAAATAGAAATAAAAAATTTCTACTTGCAGACATCACCACTGATAACATCTCAGAGTATAACATTTCTAGATCTCTGTTTTTTTGTGTTACACATACAGTCACAGTCTATTTGCAGCCAGAATGAGACACTGTCACATCCATCCGTTCACACACGCTGCTTTGTAACTTACCCTTCCCTTAATGTCTTCCATCCCTCTATGGCAGTTACCGTTTCATTTTATCTAAGTTTCTATTTTGTTGACATTTCCTCAATTGTCCTGAAAATGCATTTTACAGCTAGTCTGTTCAAAGTAGGATCCAACCAAGACCGTTAACAACCCTTAAATTTCTTTTTTCACAAGGTAGTCGGTTTTCCGTGACAATAAATTGTTGGAAATGACGGCCCAGCTTTGTAGCAGAAATGTCCCGCTTCCTGGGTTTGTTACTCCCTCCAAGATAACTTCTGTCTTTCTAACACAGTGGTAACCGAGAAGGCTTTAAACGGTTCATATGAAAGAGCCTTTCTTCAAGGACACTATGACTGGATGCAAATACTGAAGGGCCGCGCAGAGCTTCCCCTGTGTTTTATCAGACGATGCCTGCCGTGCCAGCTGGCCCTGTTTTGAAAAAGCTCATCTCTGCTCACTCATTTCAACCTCCACCAGCTTCCAGGTTGCAGTGCACCGGGGCACCTGTACTTCCGCTGTTCCGGCTTGGGGGTGGGTGGTGGAGGTGGTGGCTCTCCTTTGTCCCTCGTCCCGTCTTCCCAAGTCGAGCATCTATCTACTCCATGGGCAGGTGGCAAGCTTTAATCCCCTGGCTTTCCTCAAGCCCTGTTTACTCTCCTTTCCCTCTTGGGCCCTTACCTGTCAGGCACCATGGCGGGGGGGAGACCTCGCCCACTACGTTCACCGAGTGAGAGCAGCGGAATGAGCAGGACGCTCGGTCGCCACGTCCTGCCCGGGCGGAGGGGAGGCATGGCTGCTCTTAGGAGAAAGTGCCACCCAGCGTGGCCAGTAAAGAGACACACAGGACAGACATCCCGGAAACCGCGAGCGCCCGGTGCCACACCATCATGTGACCGCGACGCCCCGCCCCTCGCCTGCGTCCCGGGCGCCTGCGCCGCAGCTCCCGGAAGTAGCCGGACCCCGAGCGCACAGACCTAGAGCGCGTCCGTCAGCCCGTCGGTCCGGCTGTCCGCCGCCCGGTGCCCGTCGCCCGCGCGTGCCTCCGTCCTTCCTCTTCCGTCCCGCCGTGTGTGTGTGTGTGTGTGTGTGGTGTGTGCGTGGTGGAGGGGGAAGCTCGAACGGCGGCCAAGAGGCGCTCATCATGGCGACGTTCATCTCGGTACAGCTGAAAAAGACCTCGGAGGTGGACCTGGCCAAGCCGCTGGTCAAGTTCATCCAGCAGACCTACCCGAGCGGCGGGGAGGAGCAGGCCCAGTACTGCCGCGCGGCCGAGGAGCTGAGCAAACTGCGGCGGGCAGCGCTCGGCCGTCCGCTGGACAAGCACGAGGGCGCGCTGGAGACGCTGCTGAGGTGGGCGCGGGGGCCCGGGGAGAGGGGACCGCGGGGCCGAGCCTGGCCGGCCCCACCCGGGCCTGGCCCGGCGCGGAGGTGTGGTCCGCATTCCTTCCCGGGGAGCGGGCACGGGCCTGGCCGCTCGATCGGCCGGCCGCCACCCTGCCCTGCTGGCCGCGGCGGAGGCCGGTGGGCAGGAGCGGGGCGGCCGGCTGCCCTAGGCTGGTTACGTTGCACTCGGACCTACTTTCCCACTCTTTGGGAGGGATGGGAAGTGTGTAGAATCTTACCCCTCCCCGCCCCATCCGCGGTTTCCCAGTCACTGCCTTGTGACTTTTCTCGGGTCACATTTAGGTTTCCTAAGTGTTGCTTTGCGGGGGAAGTGCAGGGTGGGGTTGAGGACACTGGATCAGTTGTCCAGTTTGCCGTCCCTCGCAGCTTCGGGAGAATCCTGTGAGGTTTCTAAGAGTGAGGAGATACAGTGACTTGAAATAAAACTGGAGTGACAGACTGTCCCATGTAAGGCTGTTTAAAATCTGGTTCACTGTTGTGCACAGGCCGTATTTAATGACGGTTTCCTTACTGTAGTCATCCGCCACCGCTGCCCTTGCTGGCGATCACGTTTCTTCTGCCTCAGTTCCCAGTGTGGTGCTGGTCTCCCGGGAGAAGCAGGTGCACCGGAACACTGGTACGGCTAGGTCAAGCTAAGGAAGGACTGACATGTAGCAGTGGGAGCTGTGGTTAGGCCTCTGCGTATTCTCCCTTCCTCCGGGATGCCTTCTTGGCCAATCTCTGTGCAAGCCTGGAGAGCCATGCCCAGGGGCGCGGCCCCAGGGAGGCTAGGAGGTCTGTAGCACTTGGAATGTTAACAGGAGAGGCTGCCTTGTCTCGGTTGAAGGCCTCTGATTGGGCTGAATGGCAACAATGTAGCACGTTGGGAAATTAGGTAATTCATTGGGTCACCCAACACATTTCCGTTTTCCTCTTGGATCAAAGAAAGGTTGGTTTGGCTTGCTGATGGCTTGCTTCTGCTTTGGTTGGTAAGGAGCGTCACTGAATACACCGCTCAGAGAAATCGGGATCTCTTGGTGTTAATTTTACCACTGAGAATTTAGGCTAAAGGATGCTTGGCATCGGATTTTTTAAGATTTATTTTATTTTTATTACAAAGTCAGATATACAGAGAGGAAGAGAGAGGCAGAGAGGTTCTTCTTTCCAATGATTCACTTCCCGAGTGACCATAATGGCTGATACTGTGCCAATCCAAAGCCAGAAGCCCGGAGCTTCTTTCAGGTTTCCCATACGAGTGCAGGGTCGCAAGGCCTTGGGCGGTCCTTGACTGCTTTCCCAGGCCACAAGCAGGGAGCTGGATGAGAAGTGGAGCAGCTGGGATTAGAACTGGCGCCCATATGGGATGCCGGCACTTTCAAGGTGAGGACTTTAGTTACTAGGCCACCACACTGGGCCCAGCATGGGATTTTACTCTGAAAGTCCTAGTTACTGAAAGGGAGGGAGAGCAAAAGGGAGGGGGAGAGAGAATGGGAGAGAGAGATTTTCCATCTTCTGAGAGAGAGAGAGAAAGAAAGAGAGACACGTACATCCATTGGTTGGTTTACTCCCAAATGGCAGCAGCTGGCAGAACTGGGCTGGTCCAAACTGGGGAGCCTGGCACGTCTTCCAGGCCTCTCATGTGGGTGCAGGGGCCCAAGGTGTTGGGCCATCTTTCATTGTTTTCCTAGGCCACAAGCAGGGAGCTGGCTTGGGCAGTGGGGTATCTGGGATACGATCCACTGGTAGGCAGAGGATTAGCTTGTTACACTGGTGGGCATGGAATTTTTTTTAAACAGTTTTATTTGGCAAGCAGAGAGAAACACATACAGAGCTCCCATCTATTGCTTCACTTCCCACGTGCATGCTTTCATTGGCTCAGGTTGGACCAGGCTAAAGGCAGGAGCTGGGAACTCCATGTGGCTGTCCTAAATGGTAGGCAGTGACCCAATTAGCTGAGCCATCACTTGCTCCCTGGCAGGGTGAGTATTAACAGGAAGTTGGAATGGGAGGTGGAGCTGAGACCATCCAAGAAACTCGGATATGGAATGTGGGAGTCTAGACCAAAATTGGCCCCTGGCACTTGCATAGCCATTCTGTAGAAGCAGCTAACTTTTGTTTCTTAAAAGTAATTTCTGTGAGGGCCTGGGCAGTGGCGTAACAGGCTGAGCCTTTGCCTGCAAGTGCAGCATCTCATTTGGTTGCTGGTTAGTGTCCTGACTGCTCTGCTTGCTTGCTTTTCTTTCTTTCTTTTTTTTAATTTTAAAAGATTTATTTATTTGTGAGAATCAAAATGGCAGAATAGGATAAGGACACATTTAAACAGAGAAACATTGGCCAGTATGAAGCGGAGAGGACACATTCCAGGAAACAGGAGAGGACAGAATGACAGCAGAGGGGCACCTGGAGACTGACAGACACGGGAAGGCAGCAGACACAATGGTGTGGTGTTGCAGTCACCAAATATTCTGGCAGCATTCAGCCAGCGGCGATCTGAACTCCACCAGCAACTAGGTGGGAAGGGGAGTTCACTGGGAGCTCAGGAGGTGGACCCAGACAAAGAACTGACCGTCTTGCTGGTCTGTTTGATTTGACCATGAGCAGAGACAAAGCGTAAGGTCCCTGACGAGCAGTGCGGGAACAGGGTGGATTTCACAGTCCAGTCAGCTCCCTAGAGCTGAATCAGGCACCATTTTGTATAGGGAGGCAAAGGCTATGGGACAGGACTGTGCATGCACTGAGCTGGGAGTGAACTCATTTCTGGCTCAGTGAACAACATGGCATCCTACAGGTTCCATCCAAGATAGGTCCTAGTAGCACTCGGACCTAACAGTGTACAACCTAGATATTATAGGACTCCTGGTGTCTCCAGCTGGAAGTGGGAGAAAGGTTGTACGGACAACAGTGCAGCCTCAGCATGGTATCACAGGAGGTGGAGAGCGGTGAGCCAGGAGCTGGGGCTGTGGAGCCCCTGGTGGAAGTCCAGCGTAAGAACCCAGACTTGGAACTCACTGGAAAGAGTGCACAAGTGATGAAACACAGCCGTGTGCCAAACACAATAAGTAAAATCGAATTGTAGACCTATGGGTGGCACAGCTTAGAAACCTGCCCCAAGGAGAAGAATCTGACAACCAGAAGTACAATGACAAAGTGCAAAAAAAGAGACAGAGGCACAATGAATATTACTGAAGACTCCCCTGCAAAGGAGCAAAAGCCTTTTTGAACCTCAGGGTTAACTAAGGAAGACATTGAGAAAATGGGGGAGATAAAATTTAAAACACTTGTTACAAAACTTATCAATAACGAGAAGCATGTAATACAGGAGTTCAAGGAATTTATGGAATATGTCACACAGGAAATGAATCAAATGATAGCTGATATATCAAAAATGAAGAACACAGTGGAGCAAATTAAAAGTACAGTGGAGAGGCTCCAAAATAGGTTGAATGAAGCAGAAGAAAGAATCTCAGAATTGGAAGATATTTCCTGTCACCAGGGGAAACAAACAAAAAACTAGAAGCAGAGTTTGATTAGATTAAAAAAAGTATTCAAGAAGTAAAAGATCGTATAAAAGGGCCAAATATAAGAGTTATGGTGCAGAAAGTGCAGAAAAAGAAGCTGGGTTTACAAATGAATTTAATGAAATAATAAGGGAAGATTTCCCTAATCTAGAGAAAGAATTGGGAAGCAGCGTACCAGAGGTGCACAGAACTCCCAACAGGGTTGACCAAAAGTAATCTTCACCATGACCCATGATAATCAAGCTCTCTTCAAACATAAGGAAAAGATTCTTAAATGTGCATTTGAAAAAAATTCAATCAACATATAAATTATCCAATTAAGTTCATAGGAGACCCCTTACAGGAAACTCTACAGGATACTGTACGTGGGTACAGCGTCCCAAGGCTTTGGGCTGTCCCTGACTGCTTTTTCAGGCCACAAGGAGCTGGAAGGGAATTGGGGCTGCTAGGCCATGAACTGGTGCTCCGATGGGATGCCTGCATGTGCAAGGCGAGGATTATAGCCACTAAGCTACTGCTCTGGGCACTGCTCTCCTTTCTGATCCAGCTCTCTGCTATGGCTTGGGAAAACAGTGAAAGATGGCCAGTGTTTGGCACCTTATACCCATAGCAGAGGCCTGAAAGCAGCTGCTGGCTTTGGGTTGGCTTAGCTCAGGCCGGTGTGGCCATTTATGGGGTGAACCAGTGCATGGAAGACCTCTCTCACTTTTTCTCTTTCAGTAAAATATGCCTTTCAAATACAAATAAACAAATCTGAAAATGATTTTTGTGAAGAACTGCATAGCACTCAGACTTTGGTTCAGTAGTACTTTTTAAAAGACAGTATAGCTGTGGTCTTATGAACCTTCTGAGAAAAATGTGTTGCGTGCATTTGGTTCTTAGCTTTGAGCAAGCCGAGGCTGCTCAGGTGGGATATCGCCATCAGCTTGGAACTCCAGTGACTCCTTCTTCCGTGCTAGGTGGAGCAGTTACAGAGCTAGTCACTTGGATGCTGTGTTTCTTTTTTTTTTTTTTTTTAAGATTTTTATTTTTTATTATTTTTTCATTGGAAAGGCAGATATACAGAGAGGAGAGACAGAGAGGAAGATCTTCCGTCTGATGATTCACTCCTCAAGTGAGCGCAACGGTCGATACTATGCCGGTCCGAAGCCAGGAGCCTCTTCCGGGTCTCCCACGCGGGTGCAGGTTCCCAAAGCTTTGGGCCGTCCTCGACTGCTTTCCCAGGCCACAGGCAGGGAGCTGGAAGGGAAGCGGGGCTGCCGGGATTAGAACCGGCACCCATATGGGATCCCGGGCATGCAAGGCGAGGACTTAACCACTTGCGCCACCGCGCCGGGCCCCGGATGCTGTGTTTCTTAATCCTTTCCCCCTTTGTGGTAAACTGTTGGGTATATTACACCCTACTAAGCATTACAGTGTAGGCACTTATGGAAGCTCCTTGGATAAATA